ATTTTGATTGGCTGCCTGATGTCTGATGCAGTCATGCACACCCACACAGTGCCTGCTTGCCTGGCCTCTTCTGCTGGTGCAAGGTGTCGCGAGTCACATGGAGTAGGATCTTTCGTTTGCTTGCTCGCTTTCGCTCTGTTGTCTAACCCTCATCACCAGCATCACCACCAGCACCGAGGCGCAAGCGTGATCACAGGCATCACAGACTCATCCACCTCCCACATCGGTACACACGACATTTGCGACGCCACAATGTTGAGCGCAGCAAGAACAATGCTCCCCAGAGCAGCCTCTACACTCACGCCTTCTGGCAGTGTTGGCCGATCTGTCGCTCCCAGCGTAGCTCGCGCAGCTGCTATCACACCTTCGTTCGGGCAAGCACAGCGGCGAGGTTACCACGAAAAGGTAATCGATCACTACGAGAATCCCAGAAATGTGAGTGGTGCGCGTGTCTCTATCCTGGTGGCAATTCAGCCCAATTCTGGATGGCAAAAGGCAGATGCGCCACAGCGAGCGCGCACGAGCACTTTAGCTGACACCGGCACTCGACCATGTTGCACGTAGGTCGGTTCATTCGCAAAGGGGGATGACATTGGAATCGGATTGGTTGGTGCGCCAGCGTGCGGAGATGTGATGAAATTGAGCATCAAGGTGTCCGAGTCAGGCATCATCGAGGATGTTCGTTTCAAGACGTTTGGTTGCGGATCGGCCATCGCATCCTCTTCTCTAGTCACCGAGAAGTTGAAGGGCCTGACATTGGAGGAAGCGGGTCGAATTCGCAACACTGAGATCGCCCAAGAATTGAGCTTGCCACCCGTCAAGCTGCACTGCTCCATGCTGGCCGAGGATGCGGTCAAGGCTGCTGTCAGAGATTACAAGACAAAGAGGGATCAGGCTATCGCTCAGGGTCAAAAGCCAAAACCTGGTCATATCGATGTCTCTCAATCCGTCACCACGGGTCAAACCACCGCCACTGCCAATGTAGACAGCGGCTTCAAGTAAACCTACGGCTCTGCATTGAGAAGCAGCCATTCACACTGCATGTCTAGTGCATTCGGAATGGTTCAGAGAAGGCAAAGGACATCTTTTGACTCGGCACACAGATCCCTCAGCTCTCGCTACTTTCCGTCCGGCACTACCAGGCAATGTAAAACCAAGAAAATTTGGGAAATCTTTTCTCCTTTGCCCCACTCCTTTCCTCCCCTCCCGCGCGGCTATGCGCGCCAGTCACGATTTACGATGATGCGCAATGAGATGCTGGCTTCCACGCTCACCGATTCGCGCTACACCCTATTGAATGTGAATTCGTGTCCCATCGAGCCTAGCGTGGTTCGGCTTGACATGCCCTGCTCACAGTGGGCATGCGTAATTCAAGTGTGGCCAGACACTGCCTCTTTATGGTCATTACAAAGCACATCAGACGAGTGACTTGCTGAGCGTAGGGCTCAGAAGTCAATACTTTTTCTTCGCCTCCACACTTCATCCTCGTCCTTGGCACGACCTGCAGCAGATCTGGGGCCAACATGCACGAATGTTCTGCCTAACGCGGGCAAGACCTCCGAATCTGTTTGGTCCATAAAGGGGGGCAGAGAGAGAGAGGGAAAAAAAAGGCGGTGGTCTTTTCAGCATAGCGAAACGAGCGCGTCCCTTGCTTCTCCTCCTCCTGGATCTGCATTGCTCGAGCTAGAGCAATCCACGATGTTGGGACAAGCCTCAGACAACATCTCGATTGAACCGGGCTCCCTTTTTTTTCATCAAGGCATCTCCTTGCATTGCAAGAGCCGACGAAGATCAGGGCAGTCGGTGCTCTAGTGCACTGCTCACACACCTCACCGCACGTCCGCCCTGAGAGGTGTAGGATCTTCATACTCATCATCAAGCACATCAAGCTCATTACAAAGCGATCTGCTCGTGAACGGAATCGTCATTAGAGGACAAGTCTATGAAAGCTTTCGTTTTGGTTGAAATTTGAATGTCAACAGGGTAGAGGGGGGGCGAGGGAAATGATGTGATGTTACAAGGTGTCGTTTCGATATGTGGAGAGCATGGCGTGAAAGCTAACTTTCATCTCAGCTTGCCTTCGAGTTCGGCGAGCTTGGACTGATGCTGAGGATGACGATGCTGGCTAGCGACGATCTGATCCTGCTCAGGGCTGGGTTGGGGATTGAGCTTCCGCTCGCTCAGGAAGTACTGCTGCAGGCCCGATCCGTTGGTGTTTGCCAAAAAGTCCTGCTGCTGCACAGACAAGTCATCCTCGCCCTCCTTTTGCGTGCTCTCAAACACTCTTCTCATTTCGTGGATCTTTTGCTGAGCGTCCAGCTCCGCATCGTACGCTAGGTGTCGCTTCAGCACCACGCGCTCGTAAAGCGACAAATGGCGAGGATGCACGGCAACACCGTGGTACTCGTGCGCCTTGCCAGCGAGCACAAAGGACCAGTATCGGTCTTGCTCGTCCAGCGCCAACCCAGTGGTGTCTGGGATGAACACCATGGTGAGGATCCATGCAGCCAAGGAGAAGGCTGCGACGATGATGAACTTGGCTGGGTTGCTGTCGATGTAGGAGTACGCCACTGCGGGGATCATAGCTCCAAGCTTGCCCGACGCAGCTGAAACACCGTGCGCAGTCGATCGGACCATGGTCGGGTACTGCATGGAATCGGCCACGATTTCCGCGGTCAGAACGAGGTGCATTGCAGTCCAAGTCAGCAGCAAACACACTCACGACTTCAGCAGCGAGCAAGAAAGAGGTAGTGTTAGGGCCAAACTGAGTAAAGAAGCCGCTGAGGAGATAGATGGCCTGGAAAGCCTTGAGACCAGCACCTGGCGTAGTGAGCTGGGGATATGCCGCAGCGCAGACGGTGAAGATGATGAAGAGCATAGCCAGACCATTTGCTTGCATCCACTTGCGGCCATACATCCTGTGGTCGATGACCAGAGCGGCGAGGTAGTAGCCGACTAGAGATACGCCAATGTTGAGCAGCGAGTAGAGCCATGTCAGCTTGAGGTTGCTGGGACTGCCGGTGATCAGGCCGATAAAGACACCCGAGAAGAGCTTGCTACCGTAGAACGCAACGTCGTTGGCAAGCCATACAATGGCCGTGCCGACGATGCGGTGCCAGTAGTGGTTCCATGCCAGCTTCAGCGAAGCGGCCGAATAGCCAGACGTTCCGCTCTTGTCGCCCGCTTTCTTCTTTGCCTCGGCAAGACGCTTGTCCTGAGTAAAGTCCATCTTGTAGTAGCGGTGGTATGCAAGCCACAGGGTAGGCACGGTGACGATGGCAAACTGTACCCTGAAAGTCCACTGCGCAGAAGCCTTGCTGAACGGTGGTTCCAGAGAGCCGTGGTGGAAGACGAGTAGAAGGAGAATCAAAAGCGTCTGGTTGACGAATTGACCCCATCCTTGCATGGTAAAGGCCAGAGCTGTCTTTCTGCCTCTGTGCATGCGATCTGCCGCACCAGCACCGCGGCCAGAGCTAGCTTCCATAGCGCGGGTAGCAGTGACGGGGTATTCACCGCCTACACCAAAGCCGTAAAAGAAGAGAAGAATAGCCCAGCAGATGACCCATCCGTTGAGCGTCGTACCCCACATGGCGGTGAGACCGATGGAAAAGATGGTGAGGACGACGGCATCTTGCACCATTCCGAACTTGCGGCTGATCCAATCGCCCTCTACACCGACGCAGATCTGACCAATGATGATACCGGCAATTTCCAAGGGTTCGATGGCGCTGGTCCAGTACTTGTTGCACACTTGATGCTTGCTGAAGCACTCAGGCCACACAGCCTTGAACAGCGGTTGAAGATTCCCGACGCTGAAAAGCACCCAACCTTCGACGAATAGACCCATACCGGTGATGACGTAGTTGGAAAAGTATGCTCGGATAGGACTCAGAGGGTCGGCCTTGAACATGCGTCCGATCTCTGAAAGCTCCCTCTTGGCCTCCTTGTTCGAGACTTCGTTGACAAAGGCCGACTTTTGTGCCCATGGCAGCGAAGCCCAGTACACCTTGTCTGCATTGTAGCAGTCGGCCGGATAGAGCAGGGCATCGAGAGCGCTGGATGCAGACCCGTCCAGAGACCCAGCAGCGCCCCATGCGCTATCCTTTCCTGGCGCAGGCGCATGGTAGCCAGACCCAGTGTTGAAGGATGGTGGGGATGCGGAAGAGGCCGTCGAACGGCTAGAGCCTTTCTCTTGCTCGACTAGGGAAGAGCGAGAGATTCCATGTCAGCCACGTTGGCGCGTCTCGGGCGGCCAGCACCACCACTGCGGAGGTTCGAGTGGGTGCATGAATGGTCCGGTGTCGCGCCACACGGCCTAATCGACCCGCGCATACTCACTCTGGTCAGTCATTTCGATCCAGATGCCTTGCCTTGAGGTTCTCCATTGGTGGTGCTGAATGCAAGAAAGGTGATTGCGTGCAACAGTCTATATAGAGGTTGCTCGCGTGACCAGCTCTCTGCGCTGCGAACACAGGAGGCGGGAGGTCTCGAGAGATTTTTGACGCTAGAACGACGTCGGAGATTGAATACCGTTGAACGGACGCGCGCCTGCTTGCAGCTGTCGTTTAAAGGGTGCGGCAGGAGGACCGACGTGCGAGGACGTCGAGATGTATTCGACTACTGCCAGGGCAAGAGTGCGTGCTGTGATGGACGATCTGAACGAGCGAAGGAAGAAAGTCGAGAGGGAGAGCAAAGAGACGAAGCGGGTCGGTCAGAAATGGACTCGCGGCGCTCTTGCTTGACCACTTACTGTCACTGTGCACTCACACACACGCTACGCTACAGCTGATCTGAAGCAACTTGATCCAAAGGCCTGGGTTTGGCAATCTTCGGCTGCGAGGTCGCGAGCTAGCGTCCTGCAAAAGAGCTGCAAGGCGTGCAGAGGGGAAAGTGGACCGAAGCACGCTTGCTGCTGAGGTCGCGCGGTCCGTCGGTCGAGATGAAAAGACGCGTGCGGTCAGACGTGCGACACTTTGAAACCGCAAGCAGCATGGCAGCGGCAGCGGCAGCAGGTGTGAAGCCGGGGTGGAAGATGGAGCTAGCTACAGTACTCACGAGATGCGATGCGCTTCAAACACCGTGAAGCGCGAAAGGTGAAGCAAGAAGAGCTGTGGTTGAGCGCGCTCTCTCACTCGCACTTGCAGATTAATGTTCGGAAGCGCTGGCCAGCAGTCGAGTCCGGTTGGGGCAAGCTCACGAATGGTGGATTGTAGTCGTCGTTCCCGTCGAGGAGCAAGGGAAAGGCTTTGCACAAGGATAGCCGTGGATCTACGTGTGCTGGGTGGCGACAGATATGCAACAATTCATCTGTGCGATCTTATAAGCACACCTACACCCAAGGCCCATGACCGCTCCGCTCCGCCTTGCGAACACTTGGATGTGCTGCCGTCCAGCTGACAGCCTGCGCGGTGCTCGATCCTCATGGCTTACGCCACGGAGTTTGCCGGCGGCAGGTCGAAGGAAGGCAGGCAAGTCCTCATCATGAATGCGCACATCGGACCGCACCGCGTGTGTGCGGGTGCAGGCAGCAAGCAGCATATAGCGCCAGTACGCC